AAGCACCATCGCCATCATCAGCAGCATCATCATCCTTATCATCATCTTCCTCATCATCGTCATCATCATCAACATCATCATCTACACCATCATCATTACCATCGTCGTCGTCACCACCATCACCGCCAACATCATCATCGTCGTCGTCATCATCATCATCATCATCTCATCGGCACTATCATTATCACCACCACCATCACCATCATCATCATCATCATCACCATCATCATCAGCATCGTCATCAATATCATCATCATCACCACCATCATCATCACCATCAGCATCATCACCAGCATCACCACCATCACCAATATCGCCATCACCACGGCCAACACCGTGACACCCCCTTCACCTCCCACTCCTCTCTCCTCCCATCCCTGCCTTTGACGTTCGCATGTCTCTGCTTTGGCACACTCCTCACACGCTTCGTGGCCCCCATAGGGAGCTCCACCGAAGGCCTCATTATCATCGTCATCGGCAGCATCGTGCCTCTGCTCTCCGCATGTGCACCACTTCGGCACACCACTCATACGGTTCGTGGCCCCATATGGAGCTCTACCGAATGCCCCAGTGGCAGGGTCCGCATACGCCCGACGCCCATTTTGACGCACCCTTCACACGGTTCGTGACCCCATAGGGAGTTTCACCGAAGGCCCCAGTGGCAGGGTCCGCAGGCGCCCGATGCCCTGTTTCGGCACACCCCTCGCACGGTTCGTGACCCCATAGGGAGCCACACCGAAGGCCCCAGTGGCAGGGTCCGCATGTGCCCGACGCTGATCTCCCAACCATCCTGTGGTGTTGGGTCTCCGTTTTGAAGAGACAGCGCCCCGCGTCCTCCTTCCTCTCCTCTCGTCCTCACCCTCCTTCTCCCTCCTCCCTCCTGCCACATCGCCTGTGCCCTCAAGATATCCTTGTTTCGGCACGCCCCTCACACGTTTCGTGGCCCCATGAGGGGCTCCACCTGAGGCCCAAGTGGCAGCGCCCGCATGGCACCATCGTGCCTGTTTCGGCATACCTCTCAAACGCTTCGTGGCCCCATAGGGAGCTGCATTTAAGGCCCGAATGGCATCGCCTGCATGACACCAACACAGCCGTTTTGGCACACGCCTCGCACGTTTCGTGGCCCCATTGGGAGCTCCAGCGAAGGCCCCAGTGGCAGCGCCCGCATGGCACCACCGCACCCGTTTCGGCACACCCCTCACATGTTTCGTGGCCCCATCGGGAGCTCAACCGAATGCCCCAGTTGCAGTGCCTGCATGGCACCACCGCGCCCGTTTCGGCACAGCCCTCACACGTTTCTTCGTCACCCCGTCGGGAGATCCACCAACGTCCCCCGTGGCAGCGGCCGCATGGCACCACCGCACCTGTTTCTGCACAGCCCTCGCACGTTTCGTGGCTCCACCGGACTTCCGTATACATTGATTTGTTGAGGAAACGAGTTTCTGGCGGTTGTTTCCATATACAAGCAATGCAACGCATACGGTTTTTGGCCAGTGCAGTAATGCAGCAGCACAACTGTCGGGTGGAGCGATATATCTATCTTGTCACATATTCGTAATCTCATATACATACAGACAAAACGAAATATATATATGTATAGAGAGAGAGAGAGAGAGAGAGAGAGAGAGAGAACACGTGGTACATAGGGAGGGAGAGGAAGATAAAGAACAAGAGAAAGGGAATAGGACCAATGCTAAACTCATGAGGAGAGGCGTGGGATGAGCTTCAATATTTAGACAAGCCTAAATGGGAGGCAATCATCAGAGTCGGCTTGGCCTCGTACTGGCTCCTCTTGTCTATGGTGTCCCGTGCTGCTATCGCTGAGCTGTTGTGCCGCGAGTGGTTGCAGGTCTCCTCAGTGGAGGCCCAAGTACCACGCAGAGACTCGCAATCCTGTGACGGGCAGTATCGCTGGCCACGTGAGCAAGCATTCCCGTTACCAAGCCCTTCTGCTGCTACTACGTGCGGTGTAAGCGGCGCGCGAGCGAGTGCCAACACATCGGGGTTGCGGTAGTTGTGCCATCTGTGTTGTCAAGCACTGCTGCGGCTGCGTCGGAGGGCGAACGCTGGGCGGTATTTGTCGGCTGCCACATGCGGGTGGATATAAGAAACGAAGTCGCTGGCAAATAGAGCAGACGGAGCGCAGACAACAGTGTTTTCCGAACAAGAGGCATGCGTTCGAGTGGTATGACACATCGTGCTGATAACTGTGGCATCCCTATTTGCAATTTATATGCACTACTGTTGCTTCGCTGGCGTGTGAACGGAGGCTGACAGATGTGTGGCACAGGCCAAACAGTGTGAAGGCGAACGCGCACGACAGTGGCACAGTCATGGCATTCAGATCTTCCTGTTGTAAAGCCTACTGCTGCTCTCCTGTGGTGTGTGCGCTGGGACTCGTACAGGCGTGGCGTAACAGCTGAAAGCGAAGGTGTTGGTGCGCGGGTATACCTGTACAGTCTGGCCACGGTTAGCGAGCGCAGCTACCCTCCTAGAATGTCCCATCCGTATTGGCATGCCTATCAGGGCGGTCTGAATTGTGATCCAGGCTGGCAAGCCATATTGTTGTTGTGCTGAGGGTGAACGCTAGCTGGCACTGGTGGCTGGCACATGCACAGAGGGTATACAGAGCGCAGGCTATCACGATCTACGCTTGACGAAAGGCGTGCGGGCGAGTGGGAAGACGCAGGGTGCAGATGATTGCGCCATCGCTGATGCCGTGCGCCCGGTGGATGCAGCGCCGCTGGGCGAACCGAGGCTGCCGCGAGCGTGGCACAGTAGCTGAGGCCTGTACGGTCTGGCAACGGCGGGTGCAGGCTTGGCACTGGCACAGGCGTTGCCTCTGGGCGTGGATCTACCTGTGCTGTGGGGCACAGGCTCGTGAGACCTGGTGCCTTGCCCGAGAGGCCCCATCCGTAGGTGCGGGAGTGCGACGTTGGCATGCCGAGTAGCTTAGGCTAAAGCGCTACCGCCCTATGGAACGCGTGAAAACCTCGTGCGAGGTTTACTGTGCCGCTCGGACTCCAGCATGCGCGTTTGCATTGCTGTTGTGAGCCGCGCAGATCTAGTTGGCACGAAAGAGCTGGCCAGGATGGCGCAGGCTGCGGGCAGAGGTTGAGCCTAAGTGGCGACGAACCTGGAGCCGGCGACAGCTGGTTGGACACACCGGCGCTCCGAGCGCCAGCAGCCCCATTGCCTTGAAGGGCATCCCGCTCACCTCCACGACGGTCAGCACGAACCCTTCCCTTCCATGAGGACCCCTCACCAACCGTCGATTCTCCCGAATCGATGGGAGGCGGGGGGGTAGGCTTCGGTGCAACGCCTTCAGCAGAGCTGCTGAGCCACTCGGGCTTCTGTGTGCAGGTGGAGGAGGGAGGAGGGGGAGGAGGAGATGGAGGAGGACGAGGACGAGGAGGAGGACGGAGGAGGAGGAGGAGGAGGAGGAGCAAGAGGAGGAGGAGGACGGAGGAGGAGGAGGAGGAGGGGAGGAGGAGGAGGAGGAGGAGGAGGAGGAGGAGGAGGAGGAGGAGGAGGAGGAGGGTGTTGCCTTCTCCTATAGCGGCCGCAGGGCGAGGCGGGCGGCCGCGGCGCACGGCCTCCGCAGGAGGTTCCCCGGCATCAAGCTGCCAGAGGTTCAGGATCGGGAGCGGCCAAGAAGGGGGTGGTGACTAGGGGGGGGTGGATATCATGGCGGGGGCCATGATATCTCCCCAGATCTCATGGCGCCTCTTCTTATCTCATTACGTCCCCGGCCCCCCCTGGGCCGCGCGCACATGCCGCCGGCCATGATTTGCGCCCCCACCCCTCTTGGACGCCCCCCGCTTGGCCGCCCCCGATTCAGGAGGGAGCGACGCAAAACCCGAGGGGGGAGGTCCCAGTTGGCGCGGACGCGCCCTGGCGCTGGCTCGGGGCCTCCCTGATGAACGGGTTCGGATCATAAGGGAAGGAAACGCACAGACACAATGAATCGTCGACCCCCAGGAGAATATGGGAAAATATGGGAAGTGGGGGGGAATGCGAAAACCAAGAAGATCTGGGGAAATGTGTGGAACCCTGGGATTTGTGTGTATTTACTCGTGTGTCCCTGGGCCCCTCTAGTTCGACCCGGCGCCAGGATGGGATGGATGTGGGAGGGCGGGAGAAAGAAGTTTTGGGGGCAGGAGGGGAGGGGAGGAACGAGGAGAGACGATCCAAGATGGAGGAGGGAGCATGCTGATATCAGGAATCGGGACAACTAGTGCTTTGCCTCCAAGGGCTTTGCCTCCATTTCGTGTCGTTCCTCGACGTGTTGGAAGGATCGTGCCGGCCGTCCCGAGTCTGACTCTGGATTGAGGCTCGCGTCGGAGAGGATTCTTCGCCCAAGATTCTGTGTGGACCTCCTCGAGATTTGCCCCAACCTGCTCGCAAGAAAAGACAGGCCGCCTCGCCGTGGGTGTCAAAAAGCAAATCGAGCGAGGGCTGTTTCTGCTGGCGGAGGTCAGCGGGAAAGTCGGTGGAGTCTGGCAAAAGCGAAACCGGGTCTCCCCAATGAGAGGGCAATTCCGCCGTGCCTGGTGTTTCTGGCGGCCAGAAGTGGGCGGCCTCAGCGCAATCGTACGGAACCTAGACGGATTCTTTTCGCTATCCCACAGTCCTGGCGAAGCCTGGGGCTCGTGTATCGACGACTGTCGCAGGAGAGGGAGAAAAAGGAGGAGGAGGCGGAGGAGGAGGAGGAGGAGCAGGAGGAGGAGAGGGAGGAGGGAGGAGAGCTGGGAGGGAGGAGGATGAGGACGATGATGAGAAGTTTGAGGATCAGGAGGAGGTGGGAGGCGAAGGATGATGATGAGGAGGGGGGGGCGGACGGTGTATGTGCGCATACTCTTATGCGGCAAGTGGTGCGTGTGCAATTGCAGAATTTCGCATTGCGTGTTTGCGCGTGCGCGCGTACCCGCGTGTGGCAGCGCGCGCGAACGCGTGCTTCCCCGGTTTGCCTTGTCTTATGTCTCTTCGTTCTGTCTCTTCCACTGCTGCCGCCGTCGTTGCTGTTGCTCTTGACCCTGGTCCTCGTTGCCATCGCCGTCGTGCTTCCTCCGCGCTACGCCAGCTTTGTAGCCTCCCGTGGCAGCCGGGACCGTGCCCCGCGAGCCTGGAGCCGGCGGGGGTAGGAGCCGCGCCAGCCATGGAGGACAGCGGCCAGCTGCTGGCTGCGCCCGCTTTCAGTGGCAGCCCCGCGACCCGCCGATCTTCAGCGCATGAAACAGCCAGCAAAGGGGACCAGAGGGGCTCTGTTGGTCGTAGTCACCCGGGCCACCCGCGGAGCATTTGGTAAAGGAGGCCCACCTCGTGGCAGGTCACACGGCATCGTGCGGCATGGCAATGGCCAGCCAACTCCAGACGCTTCGCGTGACCCCACCAGCCCATCCAGCAACGTAACGATGCCCAGACGAGTTGCCCTGATCAGGGATGTGGAGGAGCATGCACTGGAATAAAGGGCCAGGTAATGCGTCGTACCCCAAGAGGGGGAGGATGGAGGAGGAATCGGAGGAGCAGGAGGGGTACGAGGAGGAGGAGGAGGAGGAGGAGGAGGAGGAGGAGGGAGATGGTGAGGGGGAGGGAGGAAGATGAAAGATGAATAGGCGGATGAGCAAGGGGAGGAGGAGGAGGAGGAGGGCAAGCAAAAAGGCCAGAAGCCTCTTGGATGCCTCCCGGAGTCTCTTCGGATTTCTTCCGAGAGCTTCTTGGAGTACTCTTGGGGTGTCTTGGAGGTCTTGGCAGTCCCCGGGGCCTCTTGGGCGTCTTGGGTGCCTCTGAGGGGCCTCTTGGGGCGTCTTGGGTCCCTTGGGAGCCTTTCGGGCGCATCTTGGGGGCCTCTTGGGCACCCCTTGGGGCGGTCTTGGGGCACCCTTGGGGGCCTCTGGGGCCGTCTAGGGACCACCTTGGAGGAGATCGATCAAAGGAGGGGTCGTACTACATTAGGGTTCCCCCCCCCCAGAAGGCCGAAGGCCAAACTGTGGCCAATACCATTTGGTATAATCAGTGATTGTGGCCTTCGCGCCGAGGTCTTTTGGGGCGTCTTGGGTGCCTCTGGGGAATCTCTTGGGGCGTCTTGGGGGTCTCTTGGGAGCCTCTTGGGGACATCTTGTGGGCCGGGGGCCGCATCTTGGGGGCCTCTCGGGGGCCTCTTGGGGCCTCCAGAGCTCCTCAATCAGGGTCCCCCCCAGAGGCCAAAATGTGGTCAACACCTTGCTAAAATCAGTGATTGTGGCTTCCTCGTCGAGGCCGTTTTGGACGCTCTGACGACACGCGACCCCCCCCCATCCAGACCTAGGGGGAGGAGGCAGGGGGAGGGTTCAAGACATCCTCCTCGCCCGCAAGCTGTCTCGCTCACTCCCACCCGCCCTCCCAACACATAAGTAGCTCCCGGACCTCAGCATGTTCAGCGGTCGTCTATGGAATGGGCAGCTACTGGGAACCAATGCAGACATTATGTGCGCGATGGGGCGAGGTGCACCACGCGTGCCAGGCGCTCCAAGTGCGCCAGGCGCCCTGGTGACCAAGCGTGCCAGGCACGCCTCGCGCGCCACATGCGCCACGTGCTCCACGAGCGCCATGCGTGCCGCATGGTCCAGCCGCGCCGGGTGCGCCACGTCTGGGGCACGCGCAAAGTATGCCAGGTGCGCCCGCGCACGTGACAGCACACATCAGGAAACATGTCAGCCCCCACCGTCCTGGTCAAAAACCAGTGCGCAGTCGCGGCGGGGAGGCTGTCATGGTGTCTGATTGGCCTGCGCACAGCAGGCAATATGCCAGCACCCCCGCGGTCCTTGTCAATGGACAGTGATCGCTTGGTTGCCGCGCATGATCCAGATTTTGCCGCCAAGTGCATGTTGTAGTGTTTTGACAGGGATTGTGGCCTTGCGCGAAGCAGACAAAATTGAGGGTACCCCCGCCGTTCCGGTCAAAAACAGTACGCATTGCTCGCAGGGCCCACGAGCATGATCCAAGATTTTGCCCCGAAGTGTGCTTCGTATTGTTATCGGTGACAGGCATGATGGGGGTAATGGCATTGGTCCTGGTTGGCTGCCTGTCTCCTGGGGGAGGGGGTGTTTCTTCATAGGGAAGAGTGATAAACTCCTCCCCGAAGGGGAAGAAAATGGGGCTGGAAGAGAAACTCGCTAAACCAGTCACGCCCAGAGGGCTGGTGGGATTCCTTCCTCATGGCAGCTCACACGCGACACGCCATCGGGAACAGGAATTGGACTCCGTGGCAAGCTACACGGCACTGCACGGTACCACATGGCACGGCGTCAAGCTTGGATCTCGTGGTAACCCCTAGCATCACACATCATGGCACTAGGCAGCCACACAGCGTTCCCTTGGGAAACCAAAACTGGCGCTTTGCGTATACCCACCAGTACCGTAGCCATCGGCGCGCTCGCCTGCGGCTGGTCACAAAAAAGTATCCCCACCAGTAGCGTAGCCATTTTGGCTCAAGCCGCTCTGGCTCGAGGGGGCCGCAACGGCCGCTGCCGCGGGGCCGGAGGTCGGCCCCGACCTCTGGCATGGCCTGGCCGTGGGGGGGGGGCGGAAGGGGTTCCCCGTTTTGCCCCTCCCCTCCTCCTGGTGCGATGGCGGGCGCCCCTGCCGCGGCCGCCGCTGGCGCCGCCGACGCTCCCCGCGCCGCGGCGGCCGCCGCCGCCGTGGCGGCCCCACCGCCGCGCGCGGCTCGCCGCCGCTGGCCGCCGGGTGCGGCCGCGCGCGCCGCTGGCACCCTCGACGCTGCGGGCGCCGCCTGCGCCGCTGGCGACAGTGGCGCCGCGGACGCGGCTGGCTCCGCGCTGGCCGCCTGCCACGCCGGCGCTGCGGAGGCTCCTGGCGCCGCCGGCGCTGCGCGTGCGGCCGATGCCGCTGGCGCTGCCGCTCCCGCAGCCGCCGCCGCGCGGCTTCCGCCGCGTGCGCCGCCGCCGCGGCCGCCGGCGCGCGCCCTGTGGCGGCCTCCGCCGCCGCCGCGGCCGCCGCTGCCGCGGCCGCCTTGCGTGGGTCGCCCGCGGTGGCCGCCGCTGCCGCCGCCGCCGTCGCCACCGCTGCTGCCGCCGCCGCCGGCTCCCCGCTGGCGGCGGCGGCTGGCGGCGCCTTGGCCGGCGTCGTGGCGGCCGTCGGCCCCCCGCTGCGCGTCGTGGGGTAGGCCGAGGATCGGGCAGCTGTTCGTGCTCAGCGTGACCACCGTGGGGAAGCGGCGGTTCCGCCGTCACAGACCGTGGTCATCCTCATTGAGCGACCGAAAGCCGCGCTCCAGGAAGCATTGCGACCAGAGCCCTCGACCCCGTCTTCCTGCGCCTCCGTAAGCCTGATCGATCCGATGACACCCCCTTCTCCTCCGCCTATGTTCGATGTGCTTACGGCGATCAGCCGCCACCTTGGGGAAACCCGTTTGCCCGATACAGTTGCGATGATTGGTCGTGCTGCCAGCCACGAGTCCCCCCGCTCCTCCACCATCGTGGCCGTCAGACGCCCGCCTAGGCAGGGGCCCAGGACGCGTCACACCAAGCCAGTGTACTTGCGACGATCAGTCGCGCCCCTGGGGCAGACGACGACACGAATGGTGCACTAGCTCTGCCCTGTCGCGACCCTGTGGAGGCACCTGATATCACCCCCGCCGCCCCTCTCGACCCTGGTCAGACCTGGGGAATACATGACGGTGCAGAAACACGCTGCAGCAGTGACCACGACTGCGCGTCCCCGACCGACCATGGCCCCCGTGTTAACCCCCTCGCGCAGGATCGTGACTCCTTGGGGCCGAGCCGTGATTCGGGAGACGCCACGCGATAGAGGTGCGCAGGGGGCCGCCGCGGCCGGCGTTGCGGCCGTTGCGACCCTCGTCGCCCCCGGCGAGAGCCTCGCTTTGGCCGCCGCCGCCGCTGCCGCCGCCGTCGTCGGCGCCGCTGTTGCCGCCGCCGCCAGCACCCCGCAGGCGGCGGCGGCGGCGGGCAGCGCCCTGGCGGGCGTCGTGGCGGCCGTCGGCCCCCCGCTGCGCGTCGTGGAGGAGGCCGAGGATCGGGCAGCTGATCGTGTTCATCGTGACCGCCCTGGGGAAGGGGCGGTTCCGCGGTCGCAGACACGAGACGACGGAAGCCGTGCTTCAGGTGGGACGATCGAGAGCCGCGCATTAGGAAACATTGCGACCGGAGTCGTTGACCCCGTCTTCTTTCGCCCCCTCAAGCCGGATCGATCCGATGACCCCCCCGTTTCCTCTGCGTATGTTCGATGTTCTCGCGGCGATCAGCCGCCGCCCTGGGGAAAACCAATTGCCCGATACAGTTGCGGTGATTGGGCTGTGCTGCCAGCCACGAGTCCCCCCGCTCCTCCGCCATCGTGGCCGTCAGACGCCCGCCTAGGGGAGGGGAGGCTTGGGGACGCGTGGCACCAAGTCAGTGTACTCGTGACGATCAGTCGTGCCCCTGGGGCAGACGACGACACGAAATGTGCACTAGCTCTGCCTTGTCGCGACCCTGTGGAGGCACCTGATATCACCCCCGCCGCGTCTCTCGACCCTGCTCAGACCTGGGGGATACATGACGGTGCAGAAACACATTGCAGCAGTGACCACGACTGCGCGTCCCCGACCGACCATGGCCCCCGTTTTAACCCCTCGCGCAGGATCGTGACTCCTTGGGGCCGAGCCGTGGTTCGGGAGACGCCACGCGATAGAGGTGCGCAGGGGGCCGCCGCGGCCGGCGTTGCGGCCGTTGCGACCCTCGTCGCCCCCGGCGAGAGCCTCGCTTTGGCCGCCGCCGCCGCTGCCGCCGCCGTCGTCGTCGCCGCTGTTGCCGCCGCCGCCGGCACCCCGCAGGCGGCGGCGGCGGCGGGCAGCGCCCTGGCGGGCGTCGTGGCGGCCGTCGGCCCCCCGCTGCGCGTCGTGGAGGAGGCCGTGGATCGGGCAGCTGATCGTGTTCATCGTGGCCGCCTTGGGGAAGGGGCGGTTCCGCGGTCGCAGACACGAGACGACGGAAGCCGTGCTTCAGATGGGACGATCGAGAGCCGCGCACTAGGAAACATTGCGACCGGAGTCGTTGACCCCGTCTTCTTTCGCCCCCTCAAGCCGGATCGATCCGATGACCCCCCCGTTTCCTCTGCGTATGTTCGATGTTCTCGCGGCGATCAGCCGCCGCCCTGGGGCAGACCAATTGCCCGATACAGTTGCGGTGATTGGGCTGTGCTG